GTAACACTATTTTATGAAACGGAGCGTGTAAAAAGTGGTCACCAACAACCAAAGTAGTAAATCAACGCGAAGAACCTTGCTTCAAAACCACCCTAACTTCAACAAGAGAAAGAAAAAGGGAAAGGAAAAGAAAGTTGAATATAACCCAGTAGCTCAAAGGAAAGGTTTTGCGAGATGCTTTTGATTCGACACCCCACGATACAAGAAGCTGAGAACCTTGCTCTAGAGTTTGTCCAAATACTATCCCCATTAAGAAAACAAGACCAAGAGCGAAGCTCAGACTGCCCGATGTCTGCGATACCAGCCCCAGGAATAAGCACAAAATTAGAAACCCAATAGAAATAAGAACGAGACCCAAATGTCCGTGGCGAGGCCGATGTGAAGCGCGTGGTGCCTCTCTGGTATACTGCGCACCGGCAGGATCTGGCAAGTCCAAAAGAGAGCATTCCGATGCAGGGGAGTTGGGAGCAGTAACGCTCGCACAATTCGCCTCACGACGCGAAATGTGATTGGGTTGAGAGGGGCTGGGGGATGGGGGGACACCAGTTCTGGATCCCGGTGTACTCGTAGCGGGGTCCCGACCACTCGTCACCCCCCCGGCTTCAGCCCTCGCTTCACAACACGAACACATACCACCCCCAGTTCCAGCCGGGGGCGGTAATGCGCCGTGTTGTAATCCCAACGGCGTTCCGGTCTCGATATTCGGTACGCCGTCCCTCGAGGCAGTATCGTGAGAACCGGCTTTGGATGGGGAGGTAGCAGTTCCGGATCCCGGTGCGCTCATAGCGGGGCCGGGACTACTCATCATCCTATTACAATCCGGAATGACGCCAGTGGGTGGGGGGGGATTGCAATCCCAACCCCAATCCGATCGGAATGCCGTAGGTCCAGGCAGTATCGTGAGAACTGGCTAGGGATGGGGAGGTAGCTCTGCAGACCTTTTTCCTTCTGCACATTCGGGGGACCTTTGTGGCAGTGCCCATGGCTGTTTCATTATTAGGAGCGGTGTTTAGGTAGGGGCAAACGAGCTATTATTGCCAATTAAGCCTGAAAAGTCTGTCGAATTCTTGGCAGTGTTAGTTAAATTTATGGTTTACATGTGATTTGGCGCCAAGAACTCGACAGACTTTTTTTTCCAGCCCCTACGGTGGCTTCAAGTGGCTTGTCGGAAAATGCTACAGTATTCCTTTCTCATGTGCATTCTAGATTGGGAACCCTCGAGGCCCGATATTCCAATCTTTGACAAGTTTACAGCCCCCCTATACTGTACCGGGGGTTGTGGGTAAGTCTGTCGAACCCTCCCCTATTGGTTCCAGGCCTTCTCGGCCACTCAATGAACAGTTTTTGTTCCAGGTGCTACGCCAAGAGTTCGACAGACTTTTTTCCTTCACAAAATATCAAATAATATCCGCTAACTAGCGGGAAGCATTCCATCAGGCTCTCTATCCCAACGGCGTTACGTTCCATGGGGTAAGCCGACCCAACTCCAAAATAAATCAAAACAAACCAAAACCACTTAATTGGCCTCGTAAACCCTCCCCCACAGTAGAAATCCATAAACAATTTAAAACAACACCCCTAATCGCGGTTCCAGCCGCAATATCTATCCCCTACATTCCCTTTGCCAATATCTCCCTCGGCCCATGTCACAATCTCTGCCATACATGCCTTCTCCTTCCGCCAAATTGCGAGGAAACCCACCAATCGTCTGCTCTGACAACGGTTCATACGCATACAAACTCGGCCAACCAGACCAAAGTTCGACAGACTTTTGCGCACACCCTAGTACTGTACTCGTACCCTAAAAGTATCGTAAGACCGAATCACATTTCTGAAGCGAGGTCGGAGCGTCAAGTCACGTTCCCGATTCAAGCGAAAAACATAACCTGTCACTTTGATTAACGCACAGCGGTCATAACTTGCTGGGAAAAATGAGTCAACGTTCGCATCGGCGATTCGGCTGCATGATTGGCGTTACACACCTAACCTAGGCCAAACGAGATCATATTTCGCAACTTAGCACTTGAACAAGCAAAAATCATGCAATGGGACGAGGTAGTCTTCACCGAAACTGGCGGGGCAGGGATCTGCTGAAAGAGTCAAAAACCAGGTACCCGGACTGAGTCGTACAAGCCTGTGATAGGGGTTGTCTGGGATGAGTACCGTACTCGAGTAGATAGCCTGGTAGGACTGCTTTCTCGGATACCGTATAATATGTCCTCTTGCCACCTCAACCAACCGAGGGCAGCGAGAAGCCTCAGAGGCCCACACCGGCGACGCCATCTCTCTTAATGGGTTCTCTCCATCTGCCATCTCCAACCATTTCTGGCTCCCCAACCTCCTCCTTCCCGCCGATGCCATCTCTCTTGATGGGTTCTCTCCATCTGCCGTCTCCAACCATTTCTGGCTCTCCAACCTCCTCCTCCTTCCCGCCGACGTCCGGAAACATGCTCCCCCATTCCCATCCTCATCCCTCAAATGTCAGAGAATTATGCCGCCTCGTAAAGGGATCAAAGCATTCTGAGCTGCATAATTTTCTGACATTTTACGGGACGAGGATGAGATGGGGGAGGATGTTCTGGGCGCTGGCGAGATGGAGGGGGGAATGGCTTTCACCCAGTTCTTGCTCCTTCCTTCCTTCTTCCCTTCTTCCCCCTCCCGCCTAAGGACATCAACCTCCCCCCCCCCGTGCCTAGTGTTATATAAAGACCCAATTTTCACCCCGTTGCTAACCCTTATTTCTCCAATGCTACGCCTTCCTTCTCGCTCGACATTCTTTCCTTTCCTACACAGCCCAATACATCCCGACCGATGCCAACCACGCCCCACAAAAGGTTTAAATCATCTTGTGGAAAGCGTCCCGGGGCGACGGAGTCTAAGAATTCTAAATCCACTTCGGGTGCTCGACTTGGGAACTGGATTCTACCCAAATACTTCTACGATAATGCACCAATGGACTGGTCGATTGACGCATTTGTAACGAATCGCTACGCTGACGGTCTGAAAGACTACGACAAAATCCTCCGACAATACAAAACTTCGTTGGACCGCATGGTGTCGCATTTAAAACGTGTATCCCCTACTATGTACCAACGCGCGTCCGATTTACGCGCCGCCTTTAGACAACGCGTACGTCCTTCCTTCTTTTGTAATGTGTTCGAGTTTATTTCCTTTTCATATTGTCTTCTTACTTGCGTGTGTCTTCATCCGCTGGTAATGTAGACTTTATCCAGATACCGTCGCATGTGAAGGTTGATGACCTTATGATAACATCATACGTCATCTCTCGGTAGCTGCAATGATGGTGCCGTTTGATGGCAGTAGAGCTTTTTCCTTGACTGTTTAGCGTCAATACGGGTTTAGTTGTGGGACACGGTTCTGGTTCAGTTCTATCATGTGAGTTCAGATGACTAATACAATTCTTGGGAGTACACTAGGGCTGTGGGGGCGACCGAAAAAGGGCCCGAGCAGTGTATGAATCACTAATTCACAAATCATCCCCAAATTTTGCAACGGTTATTCATGGCGATGTGAATGGGATCGTTCACAATTTCGGGTCATCGCAAGTGGTTGGCGGAAATAGTTTGGTAAGTATCTCTTCCCATTATCTCTGTCGAAGACTGAGTTAACCTTCCATCCATTGTTATAGGATCCATCACATGTGACAGACGGGGAAGAATCTGAGAATGATGAGACTCAATCTTCATCTAAATGCTCGGTACTAGTTGAACGGGAATTGTGGCTTGCCTTCGAAGTTGGTTATCGGCAGATATCAGAAAAAGACAAATGGCTGCTTGCATCTGGTCGTTTTGTGGAAGATGTCTTGTACGAGAATTGCTGTAGGATGGATCAGAGCACATTTGCCGATTCTCTTGTCCGATCGTTCATCCTTGATGTGTCAGACCGCATGGTGAAGGGGTGGTTCCGGCAGGATGAATGGCAGGTGATAATCGACCATGTATTACCTTTGCCCGATAGCGATAAGCGGCTACTTGATGTGCTGAACCGATTCGACTCCGTCAAATCCATCAACGATCTTTCCAAGTTACTCGGGAATGGTTGGAATGGTTGGTTACCTGAGGGTGAGGGTGACGAAAGGTGCCCGTGGATTCACCAGGTCCTTACTAGCTTGTACGCATTTCGGTTCTTTCTTCTCAAGTCATTCTCACTTCCTTCCCCCCTCCGTTCTTTCTATCTTGTGATGATTCCGGTCGATGAGGTATCGCTGACATCCACCAATCCACACTAGTTTGATTCACCTTAAAGCACCCGATTCCCCGCTTACGCGATCCCATGACGAAGGCTGGTATCGCGGCCACATCTGGACCCCCATGATCGATTTCTGCGTCCTAGACATCGCTAACTTGACCCTAAGGCGCACGGAGGTCCCCTCAACTGCTGTAGCAGGGCGTAGAAATCAGAATCGACAAGGGGAATCAACAAGGACTAGACTAGGGCGACGTCACGATGGAATTTTCAGCACAATCGGGCATGACCCTGTCGAGTTTGGCGCGATCGAGGACGGGGCAAGATATGGTGGTATGTGGTCAACCAAGTGGCTTACCGATGATAGCAAACTTGTTAAATCACTACACGATATGCTCCGTCGAATCCTCGAAAGGAATAAGGTCACGTCAGTTGTGCAGACTGTTGGATTTTTGACGTCGGAGTTGGCCCTACAGGGTGTTAGGTTAGGATATCCCGGAGTTGGGTCTGTGAGTTTACTGTGGCGGGAGAATCTACTTCATGCACCAACCACCGTTGCCGATCTGAAGGACTTAATACAAATAATCCTTATGGTTGTAAAGTTCAATGATGTGCTCCGAAAGTCACTGCAGTCCTTAAATGGCAGGGAAACGGATTCCCGGGATCGGGGAGGTTTACTTGGAGCTGCCTCTCCGTAATGGATTGCGAAAGGTGGGCTATGCTGAGGACGGAAACAATAACGGTCATGTTTATTATTATGTTTACTATAATGTATGAATGATGGTCTTCATAAATGTTGCCAAGAAACACAAATGTCTGCATCGTGTGCCCTCGTGAATTTGTCCAAACCACAATAATTAACCCGAATGAAAACATGCAAACTATATTTCCCCAAAACGTAGCGTACTTGGGTTATCGCTAACACATCTTGCAATACAAGAAGGCCCCGTTTCACCACCCGCGAGAAAGTCCTGCTCTCGTGGAACCCTTCCCCCCGTTATCCAGAGGTTCCGTCAATGATATGGAAGTTATTTGGTTTGACCGAGAGAAATCGAGTGAAGTTGCGCGTTGCGTGCGGTCGGTGAGTCGTCTTGGAGTTCCATCCGTATGGTACAACCGACCTTTGCCCCACCATCTCCGGTTCCTTGCTTCGCCTCCGCCACGACGATGTCCTCGTTAAACTGCATAACACAACTGTCCGATGCCTTCTGGATGATAGCGTCACCGAAGATGTGGATTTCTGAGCCGTATTTTGACAAGTTGAGAAAGGAATTTCCAGACAAGAGCCGCAAAATAATTTCCCCGCACACGACCATCTCGTAGTTGCTCGTGGATGCGCTTCGTATAACAAGATTGCCGGGTATGGATATGCATAGGCCACCAGGAGGAAGATCGAGTACTGTTGCCATGAGTTTGATAGCGCCGAATGAGCGGATTGGATCGGGTCTTGGAGAGGACTTTATGGCTGGATTGAATCGGATCCTGGAGGGAGATTGGGAAGATGCGTGGATGGATTGAGTTCTCGAGAAGACACTGCTGGCTTATATAGCACGCATCCTCCCAATCTCCCTCCAGAATCCGATTCGATCCAGTCATAAGGTCCTCTCCAACAAAAGCAGATATCTACCCCGGGTGTTCAATAATAGTAAGTTAGTGCATGACAATGTTTTAAGGCCTCCGTCGCAGGTTCCCGTAAGACCTGCGTTTCCCATAATCTCATGAGAGTTGGATTGGCGCTTCTTAAGAGATTCTCGCTGCTCTCTAATGGCCAAGCGGCACACGATATCGGGATAACACTGGTTGGATTAGGTAAGCGGAGCAAACAAGATACAAGTACCCCCGGCATGAAGAACCCGAACAAGGGGAAGAGGTGTTGAGGATAAGCGTAAACGGGTCGGACTTGAGAGAATGGGGACCATTCTTTAGTAGGGTTTTCATCGATCTATGTTAAAATTCTCCATCGGGATCTCGACAAATACCACCGTCTACGAGTAAACCACAATAGAACTAGCAGAGTAGGTTAAATAAGCGATGAATACCAGTTGATGAGATCCTTCCTTCGCTGGATGTCGTGTCTCTGATCGGGAGGACCTTTTCCCGGAATGGGGGAATTTGAACAGTTGGAGGTGGGGAAATTTGGTATCAAATTGTTTTAGGGGGAGAGGTTAAGCGTAAATACTTTAGTTAGTTGAGAAAAGCGCGATTTGAAATACCGGTACCACAAAAAGAAAGGAGGAGGCCAGGGTGAAAAAATGAATGGAGAAAAGCAATTTACAAGACGAAATTCAATATTGATATTAGAATCTGGAGGCGGGCTTTGGGATTTATACTGGTAATATCCTCACGAGGGGTACAAAACCATAGCTCACCCACTAGATATTGTGCCAAATAGCGCCTTTAGTTGATCTCGTTACAGGTGCGAGCTGCTCAATCATTCGGTAATTCACGTAAATTCAACGCTCTCCCCGGGGCATTTTTTCGAGAGTCTTGGATCCCACAATAGAATGACGGCGCCCCACTCCGAAGGGGGGGTTAGAAGTTGGGCATGACTATCCAAGGTTTCAGACTTCCAACTTCCGTTCATACACCTGGGCGCCGTCAACTCTAATTAGACTATTTTCCCGAGCTCTAGGCAGCAGGGGGCGTGGCAGCTGGGTACCTTGTGATCTCGTGTTGGTTTTTGTTGAACCCGAGTGTGAAAGGGCGTCTAGGAGAAAGGAATTAAGGATGAGTGGGTACTCTTTTCGGGTCTTGGAATCGGCCAGAAATGGAGCGATTCTGCCTGTTTTGGACGCATTTGCGGGAAGCCTGCACACATTGTACTCAGGTTCACGGAGACAATAAAGGTTGCCCCCCAGACAACCGAGGAAGACAACACCCCCCATATTATTGCCTTGTTATCCCATCTGCCCTGTCCATGGGCAGCCGCCCCGATATTACTATCCCCATACCTGTCACAGGTACCATACCCACCACGCTCACTGCCATTGATACCCGTCATGCTTCACAACTGAGAAATAAGCAAATAAACAAACAAATAACCACAAGGAGACATCATTGCATCCGTTCGGGTTCGCGTGCTGCTGTCCACAGTTAGTAGTGTGTCCACATCAGGGATGCGTTGTCAATTGTAGAACGGGGAGGGCCGAGCATACTTTAATGAGCTGCTGATTGATCAACAAGTGTTTGTAGCAACTGAGCCTGAGCCGCTGATTGATTAACAAGTGTTTGTAGCAACTGAGCCTGAGCCGCTGATTGATCAACAACTGTTTGCATCATCTGATCCAGATGATCGAGTCTGGCTTTCGACTCCCCACTCAGTTGCCAATGCATCGTAGCATCCTCTGCGGTCCTTGTCGAAAATCCCTCAACGAGTGATGTGAGAGCAAGGACATCCGCGCGGAGAGCGTCAATACGTTCACGATCGGAAGTTCCGTTGATAGCTGAGTCCGATGAGTCCGATGCTGCCATAATTGCCGGTCATGCGTGGGTTGAGCCCGTATTCAACGCGTTTCCGGGTGGAGATTGGTGTTCGTTGCGCGCCTTTCGCGGTGGGAGGACGTCGACTCGAGTACGGGGCTCGCAGGTCTGCCGGTGGGTGGGAGGTGGAGACGGCGCGGGCCAGAGGCACAGAGGGGCAGAGGGGGAAAGGGCGGATGGGTGAATGGGTGAATGGGTGGATTAAAGGTGTTGCCAGTTATATCTAAAAAAGGGTGGGTTGACTAAGTTGGTTGGGTATTTTGGAAGATCTCCCCTTAGTACTAGGGTGTGAGCCAAAGTGCGGCGATTTTCGTTGACCAAGGCCTGGAGAGGAGAGGAATGATGGGATGCGCGGAAGAAAACGGAACACAGATTAGTTTTTGTGAGGTATTTTTGTAGGGGCGTGGCGTGCAGAGGCAAATGCGATTCCGGACTAACAAGGTTACGGGGGGTGAAGGCGTGGATGGATATGAGAATGTTAAGAGCGAGGTGTTACCTTTTAAAACTACCTCCGAAGCTTGGCACGAGACCCCCAGCCCCAGCATTTGCACAACTCCCGCAGATCATTTTTCGCTCCCCCTCCTGGACATCCGTGTTAGGCAATAAACAGTGCGATTGCACTCCTGTCTTTTCCGGAGTCATTCCTCACATGCGAGCGCTATGGGCGGTCTGCCATTGTTCCACCCGCCGGCATAAGCCGGGGCTCATGCGTCTCACCAAAGTCCGCGCCCCCTGGACCTAACCGTGCCAAGGGGGAAGGGGTTCCACGAGAGTATTGAGCGACAGAGCTTCAAGCAGGTGTTTAGGATCGATCACCTCCCGCTTCTCCGTTGGAATCCTCCCAGTACCGGGTATCAAGGGTAAGTCTGTCGAACCCCTCTGGTTGGCCCAGTTGCTTTCTCGGCCACTCAGGGAACAGTATTCCCTCTAGCCACTCGGCGAGAGTTCGATAGACTTTTTTCCTTCACCAAAATTTAGCGTAGATTGGCCCAACAGCTGCATAAAAAAAACAAAAAAGCGGTTACACACATAGTAATTTCGACAAATCGGACAAAGTTCGACAGACTTATGCTCACACCCTAAGTACAGTACTAAACCAGGTACTGTAATTTGTGATTCTATTCTTTACTCATATGATACTGCACTATTTTTAGAAACAAAAAAAAAAAAAAAGTAAGCCAATGAAGATTTGTGCTTTGGAGGTCATAGTTTTGTTTCCGGAGAGTTTGTGTTCTGGCCAAGGAGGGTATGGGAAAGATTCCACTTTTCACAACAAAACATTACTGAGCCAGCGAGGCTCATGCCAATATATTATATTATCAAAATCGTTAAAGCATTATCATTCATTCACCCTCAGTCTCAGTATCAAAGGCCCTCAGAATTTTAGGGTATGACCAGCTAGGTGATGACATTAATCTCGCATGACTGTCTTGCTCTGTGTCATCTTTGCCGCAAGAGTCGACAATTGTCTTGCAATTTTTTATTATCATCTAAGAAAATTATGAGTGATGATCCTCTCCCCTCTCCCCTTTAAAATAAGTACAACACTTACCTTAAACCGCCAAATACTGAACAACAGTTTCAAAAGTTGCCCCGATTTCGATAATGTTGCAGGAATCGTACGCCGTTTATCTCGACTCAGAATGCACACATAACCACCTCCATAGCTCATTCGTAGAACTTGGCAATCCAACCCTGAGCTAATTTTTAGTATACAAGATAATCAAACTCTAGTGTAAGTAAAAGTAAGACTTACCCGCACTCACGAGCCCAGCCACCTGTAACTCGTCCAAAAGAGATTCCTCATGATTGACTTCGCAATGCAGACGGAATAATATGTCATGGAGACATTTTGCTACCTTAAGATAATCATGAAGCCATTTGGTCGCACCTTCAAGGTGAAAGGCCTTGGACGTCTCCATCACGGCATATTCAATGCGATTGCTACGGTCCATGGCAAGTCCGTCATAACGTGGGCCCATCTTCTGTCGTTTCGTTGGATACGTTCTGTCTCGGTTTCTCCTAAGAGAGCCGGCCAAGGAAGTTGTCTCCTTACTACCGGGTTCAGATTTTAGGCAGTGAGTAAGGGCTAGGTAAAACATACCGAAGCATATTGATTCCTCTAAGACCCTGCAGGCAGCGATCAACCACGACCGACCAGATGTTAATATCAAACCAGGCTTCAGGATGATCTTCCAAAAGGACTGGATCTGGGTTGTCGTAAAGTGGGAGGCTAGAATCAAATATCAGACAAAGCGCACTGGGGCGCGAGGACAGAAACTCACAGATAATCGAAAACCAAATGAACCCAAGATGCATCATAGTGCATATCATGGTCGTAGAGTTCGACTTTTGGTACGTAACTCGATTCGATTAGAACGCGTCGTAATTGCTCAGGTGACTCCAACTATTTGGCCAGCATCAGAGACTACATCGGGAGTAGGCTATGGATTAGCTTACGTTTTCAAACTTCCTCATCACCTCTCCCAGCGACTCATCCTTCTCCGGCAATTTTGGCACCCTCTCACAAATCGCCGCCCAATCCTTCGGCTTATATAATTTCTGGACCGTAGGATCAGCGAGATCAATGATGAATGAATGCGGTAGGCACTCATAGGGGGTAGTTCTGTGTCCCTCATAGAGAACTTGTTCAGCAAGATCCCCGCTAGGAAGTACCCACATCGAGTTCGTATGCATCTCGGCGAACCTCTTCGAAAAAACACTGGCCCTCAAAGGGAGTGGGGATGGGCCAGGCTAACTCTGTTATCATCTTATCATCGTAGAGAGGATGGGCGCGGCAAACCCTATTATGAAACAACTGCTCTGAATTCGACCTCCTCGACTGCTTTGGCTTCTTCAGCTGCTTTGGCTTCTCCGGCTGCCTCGGCCTCTTCGTAGTTTTTGTCGCATTAATGACCACGTGCGAATTGTCTCCCCCCGGTGAAGATCCCAACATCGACCGAATTCTTAACCACAATAGACGTTGTATCACTGATCCTTTCAGAACGCCATTTTTTCATACGTAATGCGTCTGGGCCCTAAAGAAATACCGCAAGAGAAGAGAATTAGTTCAGTTCCCATCAGAACATCGGCGACCGAAGAAGTCACTTGTGTCCTGATGGGACCAGCATTGGGTGAGCGAGGAGCCTTAACACCAGTAGACCGAGGAAGTCACCTGATGCACCAATGCTAGTATCACGGCTCGGTGATCGCCTTTGAGCTGTGACAAGACCGAAGAAGTCGTCACACCCAAAACCGAACTGTTATGGCCCGGCATGGCCGGGTGATCAGCCTTGAATGACCGAGAACTAGTCCCGGTCACGCCTTTCCTTCTTCTGCTCTGTTCCACACTTCTTTCAGATGGGGTAGGTATACGTACATTTTTCCGATAAGCGTGTATTAGATTCGAAGCCTTCTGGCGTCTATCTTGATCTATACTACCATCGTCTTCAACTTTCTCCAAGTCTTTGAGGTATGAGTCGATCGCTAAATCCACCAGGTGCTCGACTCGCTCGTTCTGAAGGGTGAATTCGAGATAGGCTATTACATCCCAAGTTGAGTAATCCTTCTTGAAATACGCCTCCGCCTAAAAGAAATATTTGAATCGGAGATTAATTATATCGGGTGAGAGGGGGAAAAGGAAACTTACTCTTTCTTGCACATTCGAAGCCATAATTATGGATGTATTCGATAGAAGGAATGATGGAGATGGTTGATGCCGATGATGAATATTTGTCGCTACCCCCCCAATATATATATGTTCCTTAGGTCCTCGGAAATGAGGACCCCAATCTCCCCATCCCCATCGCTCGCACGAACATCAAGACATTAAAAAGAAGAAAGTTAATGTCCTGACGTTCGTGCGAGCGATGAGGATGGGGAGATGATGGAGATATTTTGAGGGCGGCGGGGGATGGAGGAGGTTGGACTAACTGGGGCAGGGGAAGGAAATGATGAATGGTTTGGAAGGCGGCGGGGGGTTGGGGTGGTTGGGGTGGTACCGCATTTTCTGGTCACACTGAAAATAAAAAATCCAACGGGTCCGCCTTGACGAACAGGGATAAGCAACAAATATTTACTGTACCGTACCGTACTCGTACCGGGTATCAAGGATAAGTCTGTGGAACCCCTCTGGTTGGCCCAGTTGCTTCTCGACCACTCAGGGAATAGTATTCCCTCTAGCCATTCGGCGAGAGTTCGACAGACGTTTTTCCTTCACAAAATATCAAATAATATTCTCTACCTTCACCAAAATTTAGCGTAGATTGGCCCAACAGCTGCATAAAAAAAACAAAAAATCCGTTACACACATAGTAATTTCGACAAATCGGACAAAGTTCGACAGATTTATGCTCACACCCTAAGTATGGTACACCAAAAATGGGCATTTTCACCTCCGTAAAATCTTCACCTCGACAGGCATCACCCGTAGCAGATAAAAACCCGAAGCAAAAGCAAAAACAAGTCGAAATCAATTACGGTAATGCCTTGTCTCCATCCCCTCTCCACTCCTACAAATTTCCCTCCCAGTTATGTCTCGCTCCCTCTCCTTCAACCAACCTCTTTACATCATCCCCTCACTAAACCCCAATTTCTTTCCAACTTATCGCAACCCGAATACGTACGAGTACACCTCAAGAAAACCCTGTTATAATAATATACGTAGGCGCACCACCTGAGTTTTGTACATTTTACTAGTAAGGGAGCTGTGCTAGCCCAGGACTAAAGTGAGTGAATTGGTGGAAGAACTCCCAAACCACTCTAATTCACTCACCTTCGCCCTGGGCTAGCGCAACCTCACTACTAGTAAAATATACAAAACCTAGGCGCTGTATCCTCTGTAACCCCAGTCTTTTCAACAACAGGAGGCTAGTTAAATTGCTATGACTAGGACGCGAGCTGTTCGTCAACAAGTAGCTCATTGCTCCACCGTAAACTGCTCCCGCATGCTACACCCATTAAGAAAAGTACACCTAAGAAAATGGGGGAAACGAGGGATTGGGCGAACGTAATCCTTGTCTGCGTTACAAGCCCAAGGAATAAACACAAAACTAAAAATGCAAACGAAATATGAACGAGCGCCAAATGTCCGTGGCGAGGCCGGTGTGCTGAATGGAGTGATTCGGCAATGATGGCATCTGGCAAGTTGTCTAAGTCGCTCCCCATCTGAAGGCTGCTCGCAGCACTCAGAGTGTTGGGTCGAGGGACGTTACTGGCCCCGCCTTCTTCTTGATCGCAGTTGCTTCCCATCTGATTTCTGCTCGCAGCACTCGGAGTGTTGGGTAGAGGGACGTCACCGGCCCCGCCCTCATGATTGCAGTCGCTCCCCATCTGAAGGCTGCTCGCAGCACTCAGAGTGTCGGGTAGAGGGACGTCACCGGCCCCGCCTTCCTCTTGATCGCAGTTGCTCCCCATCTGATTGCTCGGATCGTGACCGGTGTTGGGTTGAGGGACGCT